AAAAAAAAAAAAAAAAAAAACGTGGCGAGACTTGGAATTCATTTTCCCACCAAAATTGTAGAAAAACATTTTCAGCCAAAAAGTGGAAAATGGGCGTGTGGAGGGGTGGGAGGGAAAACATTTTCCTTAGAAAATTTGTGCTGTCAAACAACACAAAAGTGGAAAAAAGGAAAATTCCATGGAAAAAAAACACAATCAAACACGGCCTAAAAGTAAAAGAAAAAATGAAGTTAGAAGATATTGGAGCAGCATTTGGCATGAAATTATTGTGATTGGTGGCAGTTGGGGATGGCAAATTAAGGTGGGTGAATATTTGAAGGAGAAAAATATGCGAAGAAGCATATAAACAATTTATATAATGAAGAAGCATATCGACCACTGTAAAAACAATTGACAACTGAGATGATAGGGAGAAGTCAACATTTTCATTATTGGCTTGTCAATGAATAATTTCTTACTATACCTCAGTTTAGTATCGAAGAATTCATTTTTTGCTAAAAATCTGCACAGATGCGACGTGCATAATTAGGGAGTTACCTATTACATTTTATTTATGTCTATTTTAACAAATAAAAAATAGTTAAAAATGTAGAAGTGAGTATCTTCTTGATGGCACCTTGGCGTAATGCTGGGCATTTCTTGATAATTTTATCCTCTTCGTGTCATAACGCAGGCCACTGAATCAGATTTTGCCCAGTAAAACTCAATAACACCAACAGAGTTACATGTACTCTCTTTAATTCATGCATTAAAACATTCTAGCACTAATCTAAGTATTCATGGATTAGTCTAGAAATAAATCTAATTTATTAATTCAACATCCCTCTTAAACTTGATTCATTACGCCCAGGGACATCGACAACTTTTGAAAAACGTCAATCTTTAAGGGTTTGGTGAAAATATCTGCGACTTGGTCTTGAGACTTCACAAACTCAAGCTTCACTTCTTTCTTGGATATGCACTCTCGTATAAAATGATAATAAAATCACATATATTTTCTCCAATACTTTTTCGCGGTTTGAATGTTGAGTGAACTTAAGCTCTCCAATTTCTAACAAATTGGTATCGGAGCTTCTTGTGTTTGGAGATAACTGAAGAAAAGATGATGAATGGAACTTCATTTCAAGTTCCACAATAGACCAAAGAAAATTATGATAATTGGTGCATTCGTATGAAGGATTTGCTTGAGCCCATGATATTTGGGAACCTATGGCCCAAGGTCTGGCAACAGAAGATGCAATTGCAGTTGCCATGAAGAAGGATCAAAAGGCACTATCTCTCATCTATCAAAGTTTAGATGAAAAGATGTCTAATAAGGTTGCTAGCGCAAACCCCATCAAGGAGGCATGGAATATTCTTCAAGATTCTTTTAAAGGAGTTGATAAAGTGAAGAATGTACGTCTCCAATCATTAAGAGGAGAATTTGAATCTCTACAAATGAAGGACTCTGAATCTGTTTCAGATTATATTTCAAGAGTTTTGGCTATCTGTTTCGGATTATAATTTTTTGTAGAGGAATTTGTGTCGAGGTGGAGATTGTTGCCTTGAAGATGTCTAAATAGGTTCCATGAAGGAATAAAGGATTGACGGCACTAGCCTACCGCTAGCTGAACGTTCGAGTGGCGATATGACACCTGGCGCTCGAGCACCGCTGTCATCCTAGTTTTCCTTGTTTTGTTTATTCCAGCATTTTTTAACCTAGTTTTCATCTTTAGAGCTATTATTAGAGTTTGACATGTACCCCTATAAATAGTGGAATCTTTTTTACAAGTTAATTTATTATTGAAGTTAGAATAGTTGTGAGAAACACGATTGTTTTAATTCTTTCTCAATTGTAGTTAAATGAAATATCCAATTTGTCTACCAAATTAAATTCTTGTTTATTGTGTTATTGTTGTTGTGATGAAGACTTCATATCATGTCGTATAATCTCGTTCGATTTCTAACACTATCTACTGCACGTAGTATAGAGTAAATAATGAGAGTAGAGACCCATAAATTATAAGAAGAAAAATATTGATTACTCTTGAGAGTTTCCTACTTGTTTGAGTCTCATTGTTTGTCAAAAATGCATTTTGGAATAGTAATTTGATGGAAAATATGTAATTAAAAATAAGGAAAAGTTTTCAATTTGCGTGTAATATTATTTTATTAAAAAATGTGTGGTTGAAAATAAAAGAGAAAAAAAAAATATTTTTAAAATAATGTGGACCAAACAAGGGCCTAGTTTCTCATATTATCAAAGAGATTAATTATTATTAAGGACAATTAGCCAAATACCCATAAAATTAGGTGTGATTTTATAAAAGTAATGTAAGTTACATATATTATTTATAAAACAATAAAAAACAATGTCATTACCTCAAAATTGTTTATATTGGTCCCCTCACAATTCACGTTACGTGGCCACCACATGAAAACACTCAAATTTGTATTAATTTAAGAATGTTAAATAGGCGAGTTGAACCTCTCGGCATGCCCATCATTGGGCCCGCTAGATCAACCATGCGAGCCACCTCGATTCACATATGGAGTAAGCAAAGCGCGAATTGTCTCTTTTCAAAATAGCTCAGCTCGGCTCATTTTACCAACTTGCCTCTTGGTGGGACGAGTCAAGCTGGCTCGTCTTGATAAATGTGTTTGACTGCATGGAAAAAATAAATTTTAGTAACATTCGCGCAGGCTTATGAAACTTCCAGGCATTGGAAAACGTTACAACATGATTTGGAAAAATGAAAATATAATTTTTCAGTTTACTAATAAGTCAAGAGATAATATCATGTTTTCAATTAAAAAAAACCAAGTAGGAAGATATCAGAGCAACATTTGGCATGAAATTACCGTGATTGGTGGCACTTGGTGATGGCAAATCANCCACCCCCATGTGAGGGGACTGTCAAAAAAGGCTACAACTGTAGCATTGTTCAAAAATATATTAGTAAATTTGTCTTGTCATTGTTACCGAATATGCATTTGAAATTACCGTTATGCTCTTTGCATTTTTTCGAAGCGTACGGCGTATCCAATTTATTTCCTTACATGATCACAATGAAGAAACATATAAGCCATTCTAAAAATAATCGACCACTTAGATTGTAGGTAGAAGTCAACATTTTCCTTGTCAACATAATATGAATAATTTCTTACTATACCTCACTTTAGTATCGAAGAACTCATTTTTTCGCTAAAATCTGCAGAGACACGACGTGCATAATTAGGGAGTTACCTATTATATTTTAGGATTATGCTAAATGTACATAATCATTTACACAATTCTTTACACTCCTCTCACATGGAGGGGGGCCCACACACAATAAAATATTCGTGGGCCCCCCCTCCATGTGAGAGTGGTGTAAAGGATTGTGTAAACCATGGAGTGTACATGTAGCACAATCCTTGAAAATATCAACCCAATAGT